ACGTTACCAAACTTTTTAGACCTATCCTTATATGTGGAAAATTTGGGGAAACTATTATATTATTATTATGGTTATTATTTTAATGGCGGTGGGATATAAGCGGTCACGTTACGCAGGAAAGGGTAGAGTGGACTTTTGTGTGGGCAAGAATGGGGGTGTTGTGGTGGTTGGCGGTGGGACAGGATCTCAGTGCAATTTTAATTCGGATGGCGAGGTGTAGTCCGTTGATTCACTCCATTCCTCTCTCCTGTCCACTTCCAAGGATCCAGACATCATCACGTGCAGTACTCCTTAAAATATAAATATAAAAGAAAAATAAAAAGCAATTGGATTTTTAGTTTTGTCTTTCCACGTAGTTATTCCGTAATGTTGGTATTTTAAGAAATACTATCAATAGCGTCAATTTTACCAAGTTGTTGGTGGCTAGAAACTTCTTTGCGTAACTTGAGATTTGATAAAACGAGGCCGCCCTTAATACTGTGTAAAGTGTAACGGAACTGCGTGATAACGAAATTATTTAATTATAATATTACGTAATATTATAATTTTATAATATAATATATTATTATATAATTAATTTTTTAAAAAATTACTTATTAAATTTTATATTATAATTATAAATTTATAATTTAAATAATATTATAACTATAATATTATTGATGTGATAATTAATGAGAACAGCTGGGCTGAATCTTAAGTTCGAACTGAGCCCATCCCCTTTGCCCTTGTACTAATAGTTACCTTCTTTAAGAAAAAGTAAGGGTCAGCGAGGATAAGTATAGGTCAGGTATTTTCTCATATCTGTATTTGACTTGAATATTAACAAGTATAACATTTCAATACCTAATTATTTGGGTTTTGAAAATTTATACCTATTACCCAATTTGGTGGGTATAAGTATATCCATAAGTATATTTGTATATTTATTAAATTTTACACTAAAAATACATAATATATAACTACAAATTCATACATATAATATAAGTTTATATATAAAACAAAATAAGTGAGTATATACACTTACACATACACAAGTTTATATATATAATAACAAAAGAAATATAAATAAAATCCACATGATTTTCCTTTAATTGAATCTTCACTATTAAAAAAAAACATAAACATTTTTATTTCATAACATTATATCACAAATTAAGCATATAAAACTAGAATATAATCATTATATTATAAATTCTTTTATAGTTAAGTAATTTCTATATAAATTGTAAATTGAAATGATATTCCTATAATTAATTAATGAAGCATTATAAATATATAATAATCAAGTATATGGGTTGGGTATATAAGTCAAATATACAGTTCAGATATATAAGTTAGATACATGAGTCAAATATACAAGTCAGATATATTGGTCAAGTATATAAATCAAATATATAAGTATTGACTCTTATACCCAATATTTACCTGATACTTAACAGGTATGCATTTTTCATACCCAGTATTTAAGTATAGATATAAGTAAAATATCTATCAAAACAAATCAAATACTTACATATATCAGATATATCCTACCCAATGCTCAACCCTCAAAAAAAAAACTAATAGTGAAGGAAATTCAAAAAAGGCCCAGCATAGTTTATAAGGGAGGACAGGGGAAAGGCCCAGCATGGTTTACAAGGGAGGACTGAGGAGGATAATCTCGAGTTGGGCCTTAAAATTTAGCGCACGTAACAACCCACCCCACCCCAATTCTTCTCCCTCTTTTTCTTCAATTTAATTTCCAAGTGGGAAACGCCTTGGAGTCAAAGGTTGGAATAATAACTTCAGAATTAGAATAAAAATAATACTAATAGTCTGGTTAACACAAAAGCTAATTTTATTAATGGGAATTGAAATTGGAATTACACAATTTAAAACATAGCTTCGGAACATGAACGGAGGAATCTAAACTTCAGTCTCTTCTACTAGTTGCATAGAAAAGGATGAGCATCCTTCTAGCTCATCTGCTCTCCCATGAAACTCCCTCACAATAAAAAAAAAACAAAAAAAAAAACATCACCATCCAAGGGAAAAAATTTGTTATTATAAGCAGGATCATACTCTCAACCATGGGTCCCTATTTTCCAGGACATGGCAAAATTCTTTCCGACCGGGAACTTCAAACCATGAATTTCCACCATCATAGTCTTTTGAGCGCCTGCTCCATCTTCAAGCTCCTGAAGGTGATTCTGTTCCACTGAGTTGAACTTTATGCTTAAAGCTCCAGTTGTTGCCACTGGAGTTCCATCAATCTCAAGGGAAGATGCATCTGTACTTCCCCCCACTCCCAACACAGTTACTGTGTCAATGATCCAACCCTTGTCTAAAGCAAACTTGCCCTCCTGAACTTCAGACCAAAGCTTCACACTTCCTTGTTTGATGTTTGCATAGAAATCAACATATGTTGAGTAACCATTTCCAAGTTTCATTTCTGGAAGCTCATCATTGTCAAGATAGAGGCTTCCCTTTGCTTGTCCTTCATTGGCTCCAGCTGGGAAAGTCACTATGAGGTGGAACGGTGTCATTCTAGCTTCCTTAGAGATCATTCCACCCTGCTGCATTGGTAATATGACATTCTGATACAAGTGTACGTTGACCACATTCAAAGGTGCATCAAGTGTAAAATACTGCCCCTTTGACACAATGGTCTGAGTCATGTCAAATAAACTATACCAAGAACCAGGAGGAAAAAGCGCTTTAACTTCTGTCTTCCCCTGTTCAAGTACTGGAGACACCATGACACCGCTCCCTAACAAGAACTGTGTGCTCAGACCATAAGTCTCGGTGTAAGTAGGGAATGAGAAGAAAAGTGGCCGGGCAATCGGAGCACCGCTAATATGTGCCTCATAGTTCAGCGTGTAGAGGTAAGGAAGAATTTTGTACCTCAAACCTAGAGCATTTCGTGCAGATTCAGCTACTGTTGCCCATTGATAGAGCTCCTGCCTTGGGGAGTAGTAATTTGCATGATCCCTTGAGAAAGGGTAGAAAGCACCCACTTCAATCCAGCGATTACAGAGCTCCTCTGTTGGCGCAGGATAAAATCCACATATATCTGAACCAACCATCGGAATGCCAAATATGCCAAAATTCAGCATGGTAGATATTGAATACCTTAAATCTTCCCAAGTGCCCTTATTGTCACCTGTCCAGTGAGCAGCATATTTCCCTGATCCAACATAGGTGGAGCGCGACAGTATGAATGGCCGCTTCCCCTCAAGCCCTTGGAGGCCTTTGTGAGTAGCAACGGATTGAGAAAATCCATAAATACTATGAGCATCGTACTCTTTAACTCCATTGTAATGAACTGCACTAGTGGCAATGGTTTTGAACCCTATTGGCACTTGCAATCCTGAAGCATTTATCTTGTATGGTGGATCATCCCATCTTGTCTTTGTTATATTCTTGCAGTCCAAGCAACAAATCCAACCAGGTCCTTCCCCACTTGGGCACTGCTTGCCTTCTGGGATTTTGCACTTCCCAGAACAGAAATTTGAAGCTTCGTTCATGTCAATCCATAGGCCATCAACAGGGACAAGTTCATGAAAGCGGCGAATCTCACCACCCCACCATTCAACCGTTTTTGGATTGAGGAAGTCAGGAAAATAAACAGCCCCCGGCCAAACTTGAGCCAAGTAGGGCTCACCCTCATACTTGATGAAAACATCATTGGCAATACCTCTTTGATAGACACCATAGCTTGAGTTGACACCAATTCCAGGATCAATAATGACAATGTACTTCATGCCTATGCTGTGTATTTTGTCTAGGAATGCCAGAAGCTTTGGACGGGGGTAGTTGGTGGGATTGAGGGTGAAGTCCTTATGGCCATCCATGTGGTCATCATCATTCCAGATCACATCAAGTGGAATTTTAGCCTTCTTGTAGTTCTCAACAACATCTTCCACTACTGAAAGGTTATGGTAACCCCACCTGCATTGGTGGAAACCTGTGCCATTGAATTCATGAAAACGATTAAAACAAACATTAATATTATCTAAATTGCAAAAAATTGAGATCTTCAAGCACTCTTCTAATATTAATTAAAAAGGAATAGTAATATAAACTATAAGGAATAGTAATATATGTCTGACTTGCTGGCTCTAGATTGCAGGACAGACACTTGACTTGTATCAAAGAAACAGGCACTACAATTTAGAATTTCATTTTTCTGAGATTATCCGTAGAACAAGGGTCAAAAACAAGAAAGAATGTTTCATGCTATAATATTTTACGTGACCCTTCTTGTCCTTGTCTTATAATTAACTTAAGACAACTATTGTAATGCCATTTTCTAAAAATGAGCAAACAACATCACCAAGACCCAGGTTTAAAGGACTCTGATTATTGACGCAAATATTATCAGTTACCTAGGGTAACATGTCAGCACCTCTTTATAACATTCAGCATTCTAGAAGGCAGACATGGCAGCAGAGGCAGCCCATGTGCTTGTGCTGCATGCATTAATTTTGTCACAAGTCATTCATTACTTGTTAGACTATGCCCAAGCAGTTGAACAGAAGTACAGAACAGTCTTAGAATCAGATCTTAGCTCCCTTAGCAATCAGGTCTTTTTTTTTCTTTTTTCTTTTTCTTAATTTGCAGGAAAATTGGAGTCCATCATGGTGTGGCAAAAAAGACTGGAATGTTTTGGTTTTCTACTGATTTACCAACTACCAAAGGAAAATCTCACAAGAATTTGGCTCTTATGTACAAGTTCTCACAGTTTTACCATTAGTACTTGCCTCAAGTGAGGGCATATGGTCCTACAAAACAATTATCCCAACAGTAAGACAAATTTGTAATTTTGACCATTCTATTTCCACCTCATGTAGGCAGATATCAAGACAATATTACATCCAAAGACATAAATATATTTGTCTTCTTGGAGATTCCAATGTTTTCACAGTTTACTTTTTCACAAAATGTAGTAGAAAGTACAAGATATTGAGCTTGTAAAGTAGAACTTCCATCACCATAAAAATATTATAAACTTTAAAAAAATCTTATGATGATTATCTTTAATATGATAAAATGAAGAAAAAGTTATTCATCAGTTACAAAAGAAAAAAGATATTTGTCCAAATTTAAAGTTGCTTTTGAATAACTAAAGAACACCTTGATAGATGGAACTTTAAATACAACAATAAAGAAAAGCAGATATTCTAGACCAACCCACCAAACCACCACATTAAAAACGCATCAAACATCCCAATCCTGCCACATCACACTAATTGAGGATCTGAAAATGTGCACAGCTGAATATGGAATCACACAATCAGCCTAACATTTTACGTTATATATTAAACCGGGTGGTCCTGACTGGCCCTTATCATCCCACGTCGATATTTCTACTTCTACTATATGATTAAACAAATTTCCCAGCTTCCATGTGGCACATAGATTACATTTTCTAATGCAGAATAGAACTTGACATGATTAAACAAAATCTCACTCTAAAACAGGAAGTAGCAGAGTCACATATTATTAATTACTGTCAGATTTCCCGGGATTATGAATGTCCTTTGCCTACGCCGACATGATTAGCAATTGTTAAGTAGTATTTTACTCCATCATTTTCTATAGAATCTCATTTAGAAATAAATTAAACCTGACATAATAATACCAACATAATAAGTCATGGGCATTATTGTCCCTTCACAAGCTTCATCTTCTCACTCAAAGGATGGCCGGATTCATTACGCCTAAAACCTAAATTTCATTCACTTTTGTACTCTAAAAGCAGCAATGAGTCCCCTGTTTTGCAGTCTAGACTACACCAAACTACAAAACGTGACCCTAATATCAGAGAATTTATCCTGATACAATCATTACTATTGCGCAGTCTGATTCGAAATATCAATAATTGAGCAGATAATGTAAACGAAAGTTTCTTTTTTTAAAGAGAAAAAAAAAAAAGGGAGACGGAAATAAAGCTGAGACAGTAGTCATACCTAGAGCCCAGTAGGGCATGGGGGCCGGTCTGCCAATAAAGGCTGTGTACTGGTCCACGACGCCGAGGGGTGTTGGTCCGGCGAAGAAGTAAAAGTCGAAAACACCCCCAATCACCTTGTACGTCAATGAGGTTCCCTTGTAGAATACATCCATGCCATTGCTGTTCAGCAACAGAACGGCGTGAGCATATGGCTCACCACCGACATTCCTCAGGTCCATGTACACTGGGTGAGACCCGTACAAATCGGTGTTTAGATTGATGGCAGACACATCGGTGGTGTACAATGTGTAAGGGTCGCCGGGGTACAGCTTAATTCCGTGCGGTTGTGTGTTTTCGCCAAGGCCGTAGAGCGAGGCGTCCCCGGGCAATTTGGTGGAGATTTCAAGGTATTGGTCCTTAAATACCAATTGGCCAAACGGGTCAGACTCATCGGCGATGGAGTTGAAAAGAACCTGACCGTTGGATTTCCTTTTCACAGCAAACCCAAATGGGTCTGAGGTATAGGTGAAAATGAGCTCGGCGCCGGACAGCTCCGAGACTGTTATTGGGTTCTTTCTTGATCTCGGGATGGCTTTCTTCAATGGTGGTGGCTGATCCCTCGGTAAGAGATTGTACGGAACCTCCCATCTCTGCTTATCTGCATCCGTTATCTGAACCCTCAACCGATCACCCGTTTCATGCCTGCAGAAATTAGAAACCAAAAATTTGATCAGAACCCAAACCCATTTTGATATTCAGAATGAAGCTGAGGAAGGAAATTATATGAACATGGTAGACATCCTACTTACTTGACGAAGAGCCTCAAGTAAGGGATATCAGGGCCATAGACATCATTCTTCTGGTTGACTTGAAGGTAGCCCACAAAGCCACCACCAGGGGCCTCCTCGACGGAAATCAGACGGTAGCCTTTGCCAATCTTGGGCGGCACCGAGGAGGCTGAGTTTCCTCCGGCGACGCATTGTATCAAAAGAAGATACGACAGAAAGAAGGTAAGAAACGAAGCCGGAGAAAACATCTCTAACTTTGGATAGTGAGTGACAGTGGAACCGTAAAGAGTGATGATTGTGAAATATAAAATGAAGAAGCGAAGAAAGGGATGGTTGCGTGAGGTGGTCTTGAGCACGTGATGACGAAGGAATGCGGGCCCATCGCCCGTTGACGGTGATGATCAAATTCTTGTGTCGGTGGTCCCACATGTATCAATGGCTTTGATTGTGGCAAGAATGATTAATTTCTTCTTTTTTTTTTCAAAGATAAGATTGGATTGTTGATGGAATATCTGGAGTATTTTTCCAATACGGTAACTGTAGAGAAAATGCGGATGTTAGGATATGAAATTTGTCAACATTGATAAACTTTTTTTTTTTTTAAATGAATATATAGATTTAGTATTTTTCTTTCTATTTAAGTTTTTTTTTTTTTTTTGTTTCCCGTCCCGTATCCAGGATTTCGCCCCGACTACTCCAGACTCGATCAGCTGTGGCGCACCAGTCTATTTAAGTATTTATTAGATAACTATAATAACAAAGCAAACAATAATTTTAGAATAATAATAATTGAGATGATAAAATGGGATGAAAATAAAGGATGAATATGAAGTGGCAATCATCTCAACAAAGTATTATTTCAAAGAGGATCCCATGTGATAGACAACAGGTAAATCATGTCATTAATTCCATAAAATCATCTTATATATTCGTTCATCATATATCATTATCCATAATTTTAATATGAATAAGACAAAATTTATGTTTTTAAATAAAAAATAATTTTTTTGATATATTTAAATAAAAAAAGTCATAATTTATTACTTAATTTAAATTTTTTAAAAATTTATATCTTTAAAATAAAAAATAATAAAATTTGTATCATTTACTCACTAAGCATATTACTAATATAGTTTTTTATAATAAAATATTAAAAAAATGTTTTGTAAGTTGTGTTCGCAAATTATTTTGAGAAAATTTATTTAAAAATTTATTTTTTAATTAATATTATTACAAATCAATTATTTGATTTAAAGTTTTATTTACATAAGTTATACATATTGATTTTTATATAAATATATAAAGCCTAATTAATTAATTTATTAAACAAAATTTTAAATATTAAATATATACCAATAAATAAACAAAATTTAATCAAATAATTATAAATATTATATCAATATAAAAATTAATATGTATAATTTATATAAGTAAAATTTTTAATTATATTGTTAGTTTTTTAAAATTTTAATTTGAATGTGAATATTAAGTCAAATTCTCTAAAAAAAATTAGAAGAACAATATGCATTACAATAATCTATAAAATATTATATATTGTTATAATTACAGAATTACAATCATATTGAGTTCAATTTTAGTGGTCGTAAAAACTGAAGTTGGACAAGTCTTTTCAACAATCTTTGTTTTTTTTAATTATTTTTATCTTTTAAAATGTTCAATGCTACAGAATAAAAAGTATTTGCTTCTGCAAGTCCAGATTGTTGTTAGCTTAGCGGGAATCACCTCATAGGCGGCCAAAATTCAAAAATGATAATGGAGAAAATCCAACCTTTTTTGGCCGTGAATTTTTTAACATAGCAAATAGTTATCTATGTTGTATATCAAAAAAAGAAAGTGATTTTTTTGTATCTTTTTTTATACAATCTTATGTATTAGTTAAATTATTAGCTTTTTTTTATTTACTTAAGATCATGATATTTAATGTATTAATTCATTTAATAGTATGTAAAAATTATATAAAAAAATTATACAAAAAAATTATCCCTATATCATTATCCATCCAAAATTTTTTTTTATAGTTTAGAATGTATCAAGTTACAAAATAGTTACAATAGAATTGAGAGAGTGTTTCGTGATATTAGATCTTCCTCCCTTATCCAAGTGCTTCAATTTTGCAAACTGATATAGTTTGGATTGCAAAATAGGGAATTTATATACAGAGAGATATGATTTATTTATACATTAGTTTTATATATCATGTTTATATAAAATCTTAACTATTTATTTATCAACTTTTAATAGTTAAGATTTATTTACTTATTTTTATATTTATTAAAAATAATTATTTTTTATTTAAAAAATTATAATAAATTTCAACTATAAAATATATAAATATAATTGATTAAAATTTTGTATAAGTATGATATGTAAGTTGTATATAAATGGATTCTCACTCATATATATATATATATATAAGTCCCAACTCCCAACAAAAATTGAGTCTCAACATTAAAGTATGTCTTTTTATTTAATTAAAATTTAATTTAAAATTCAAAAAATTTATTTTATTAAATATTGATATTTAGATTTGAAAATATATATATATTCTTATATAATTGGATAATTCATTTCAAAATCCATGTATTAACATTTAATAAGATGGATAAATTTTAAATTGGGTTTTAAGTTTCTAAATATAAGTATCAATATTTAATAATGTCGATTTTTTAATTTTGAATTAAATTTTAATTAAATAAAACAATATGATGTAATTAAATTATTTGACTTTAATTTTTTTGGAATATAATTATCAATATTTAATAATGTTGATTTTTTAATTTTGAATTAAATTTTAATTAAATAAAATGATGTGATGTAATTTAAAGATTATGACTCTAATTTTTTTTTGGAATTGAGATTATAAGTGGATCATTTCAAATCACTTATACAAAAGTTTTATACATCATATTTACACAAAATCTTAATTATTTATCTCTTTACTTTTAATAATTAAAATTTATTATAACATTCTAGATAAAAAAATAATTATCATTAATAAATGTGAATAAATCTCAATTATTAAAAATAAAAAAA